GGAGAAGAGATTTGCAAACGACATATCAGATAAAGGGTTAGTAGCCAAAATCTATAAAGAACTTCTCAAACTCAACACCCGAAAAACAAATGATCCAGTGAAGAAATGGGCAGAAGACATGAATAGACACTTCTCCAAAGAAGACGTCCAGATGGCCAACAGGCACATGAAAAAAATGCTCAACGTCACTCATCATCAGGGAAATACAAAGCAAAACCACACTGAGATACCACCTCACACCTGTCAGAATGGCTAACGTTAACAACTCAGGCAACAACAGATGTTGGCGAGGATGCGGAGAAAGAGGAACCCTTGTGCGCTGCTGGTGGGAACGCAAACTGGTGCAGCCACTCTGGAAACCAGTGTTAAAAATAGAACTATTCTACAACTCAGCAATTGCACTATGAGGTATCTATCCAAGGGATACAGGTATGCTGTTTCGAAGGGGGCAAATGCACCCCAATGTTTACAGCAGCGCTATAACCAAAATACCTAATAACGAATACCAAAAGTATGGAAAGAGCCCAAATGTTCATTAACTGATGAATGGATAAAGAAGATGTGGTTTATATATACGATGGAATACTACTTGGCCATGAACAAGAATGAAATCCTGCCATTTGCGACAATGTGGATGGAACTGGAAGGCATTATGTTGAGTGAAATAAGTCAGGCAGAGAAAGACAGATAAATGTTTTCACTCATATGTGGATCCTGAGAAACTTAACAGAAGACCATGGGGGAGGGGAAGGGCAAAAAGTTGCAAACAGAGAGGGAGGGAGGCAAACCATAAGAAACTCTTGAGAGCAAACTGACGGTTGAAGTGGGGGGCGGGTGGGCAGGGAAAGTGGGTGACGGGCATCGAGGAGGGCGCTTGTTGGGATGAGCACTGGGCGTCGTATGGAAGTGATGAATCACGGGCCTCTACTCCCGAAGCCGAGAGCCCACTGTGCGTTAGCCAACTTGACAATGAACTCTTTCTCAAGAAAATAATAGGGGGACGCCACTTTAGATTTCTTTCTAAATCAGTGTGACCGTGCGTGAACTTTGTTTAAACCAAAAGCCAGGTTTATGGCACCTACGCTGTGAATGGGTAGTCTACAGGAAAACCGTCTTGTCCCTAACGTGTGCGCCAATCCCACACTCCGTGCTCCTTGACACGGAACTTGTGCTTCCTGCCCAGATGCTAATGTATCATGTTGAGCTCCTACAAGACGTAGAAACGAGCGTAACCCTGTAACAACCATTCATTCTCCGGGGCGCTTTCTTCCCTGTGAACAGCATGCTCCTGGACCAGCTCTCCTAACTTGGGCTGGAATAACACTGTCAGAGATTCCAAAAGGTTGGTTCAGTTTGTGTCCAGAGGCTCCCAGTGTTTTCCAGGTCAAGTATGATTTCCTGGCCCTGGCTTTGGAAGCCCGTAGTCCTCACTGCCTGCCAGAGCCGATACCCTCCCAAGGTGGCCCACCCACCTCAGCCGCCGCCTGGCCTCCC